GAATAATGACAGAAAACTTCCCTTATGCAGTGAAAGAAATAGATTTACAAGCAGAGGAAGCACAGAGAGTCCCAAACAAGAGGAACTTAAAGAGGCCCACATAGAGACATCATAATTAAAATGCCAAAGGCTAAAAACAAAGAGAGAATCTTAAAAGCAGCAAGGGAGCATCCATATAACTGTCAGCTAATTTTTCAATAGAAACTTTGCAGGTCAGAAGGAAATGGCAAGAAATATTCAGTAATGGATAGCAAGTACCTACAACCAAGATTACCCAGAAAAGCTCTCATTTAGAATTGAAGGTCAAAGAGCTTCACAAGACAAAAAGCTAAAGCAGCTAATCACTACCAAACTAGTATTACATGTTGAAGGATATTCTTGAATAAGAGAAACAAGAAGAGAGGATGAGGAGGAGGAAGATAAAATATATGAACTTTAAAACAGCAATAAATGCCGAAACCAGTTTGGCTCAGTGGATAGAGTGTCGGTCGGTCAGTCTGCACACTGAAAGATCCCAGGTTCGATTTCAGTCAAGGGCATGTACATTGGTTGCAGGCACATCCCCGGCAAGGGGTGTGTAGGAGGCAGCTGGCTTATGTTTCTCTCTCGTCGATGCTTCTAGCTCTCTATCCCTCTTCCTTCCTCTCGGTGGAAAATCAATAAAACATATTTTTTTAAAAACGGGGAAAAAAACAGCAATAAATATTAATCTATAAATCAAATGAGAAATCTAATGAACAAAATAAATTGGTGAATAAAATAGAATAAGAGGCATGGAAACATGGAACAGTCTGATGAATCTCAGAGGCAAGGGCGGAGAGAGGACAGGAAGAGATTAGCCAACGGTTTACATGCATATATGCATTACCTATGTTTGGGTATGAAATGATGCAGAAAAGCAATGGGGGGGGGGGGAGAGGAAGGAAAGCTGTAATACCCCCAACAATAAAGGCATAATTTGGCAAACGAGTATTTTATAAATGACCAATGTATGTTATTAAACCATGCAAAAGTAGATCAAACTGCAAGATAGGTCAAACAAATTTTAATTTAACAGACTAGCACAAAGTTGAATAGTTTCAGATTTCACCCTGCAACTAACTTTCAAGAAACTACCAGTTCTGAAGTTTTGGTAATGTAACAAAGAGTATCCATAATTATCTGAAACTACTGAAATATTCTTCCAAATACATGTGTGTGTGAAGTCAGATCTCTTCATACACTTAAAAGCGCCATATTACAACAGATTGAATGCAAAAGCAGATATGAGAACCCATCCAATTTACAAAACAAGTTTTTTAGTTTTGGAGAACATGTTTTTTTAAAAAAATAAAATAATGCTCTTAATGTTAATAGGTAATTTTTTTAAAATATAATAAATATCAATAGATATAACTTACTAAAGCAAAAGTTCTTTGGGAGCCTCAACCTTTAAGAATATAAATGTTTGAGAACAGTGGGACTAGGAAATTCTATTTCAATGCCACTAAACTCCCCAGAGAAAGGGTAAAGTGGTATTAAAAATGTATGGAAGTGGAAAAGGGTTTAATTAGTATTGTCTTTTATAGTTTAGTTAATTCTTCCCTGGAATTAAAATTTAACTACACAGTTCTATACGAAACATTTCACAATATTCTAACTATATAAAATGTTTAAAATAACATTCAAAACTGGACTTTTATTTTTAAAAATCATACCAAGTAGTAATATGTCACACTGTTTTTATCAATTCTTTATTTAGGTAACAAGTTGGTTATGTTCACTGCATTGTATGAAACATCACAATATCATACTGGAAAGGTACTGTCAGTACAGGATTGGATCAGAGTGGACAGTTGAACAATAAACCATTTTTGCATTCTTCATTCTTTTAACAACCCCTAAACCCAGTAAAGGGACAAATAGCTTTTAACATCATCATGTAAAGCACTTTAACTTACAAGGCTAAAATCTAAAGAATAAATAAAATATATTGTGGCAATAATTCTTTTAGGCCAAAAATCAGGTGCACAATAAATTGAATGATCAAGGAAGCTGTCTGTATTCAAATGTGTGGCTCCCCAGAAACAGCTTCGGGAAAATGTTACAGAAAATACCATGAATTCCACTGCACACAGGACCAGATGATGACTCTTTAACTATACACAAAGGCAATTACATCCCGCTGAAACACAATTTAAACATACAAGAAAGTGTTTACAAAGCATCCACAACATGTAAACCATGTACAAATGGATACATTCATTGCTTTCCTATCCCAATAGCTTTTAGATAAATATTTTACTCTTCATGTTCAGCATTAATTGGATACATGCAAAACTCAAAAAGAATTCAAGATTATTGTAAAAATAGAATTAAATGAATAATCTTCAAGTACCTTATGTGACAGCCACTCTGTACCGTGCCCAATGTTATAAAATGAAAGGTTACTGAACCCATGAAAATATCTCTGTAATATTTCCTTAGTTCTAAAATAGATAATTTTAAATGTATTTATAGTCATTTCAATGTGATATTCTGAGCTTTTAAAATAACGTAAACAATTAAAATTTATACCAAATTACATAAAACTTGTATCTTAAAAGCTGAAAAATTAAAACTATAGAAACCCACATGTAAAACAAAAATCACAATTTACATTATAAAGGCAAATCTCATCATTTAAAAAATTTGCAGCAGTGAGATGTCTAAGCAAATTATAAATAGCCATAAATTAATCCATTTGGTTTCAAAGACTTTCTATTGTGTGCTGAAGGATATAGGAGATACATGCATAAAATTTGTAAGGGTTTATAATATTATTGCCAAATACACTTATCTTGAAGCAGGCAACATTACAATTTGGACATTATTGAGGAACCCAGTTTGGTAATACAGGTAAAATTGGAAAAAAATTAAATAACAATAAATATATACCCTATAGTAGATTGCTCAAATGAAATTTTAAGCCAGAGCTGCAAAAGGCTTTCAACTTGGTGAATTGAAAAAAAGAACATCTCATACAATTCTTTACTCTTACATGCTTATATGTTGTGTGTCTTGTTTAAAAAAACACAAAAAACCCATAATGTATCTTCAAAGTACAGCTAACTATATTCCCATGCACCTCAGGCACAATTATTATTTGTGGTGAAATAACTCCGTTGGTTTCTAGGGCCAATAGTTCAATACAAATGTAATCGGTATGCCTGAGGTTGGCAAAAATACTGTAGTACAGGCATTGCTACAAGTGGCAATTATCAGAAAACACAAATATGAACAAATGATGGGAAATGCTAATGATTTTCTGCTCATATCACAAAACGTTGGGAATCCACAAGAATATTTTCCCCTTGTATTGAAGAAAATGTGATTAAAAGTTTTTCCCCCAATTTTCAGAATCAAAAGCATTTTAGAAGTTTATAAGGCTACCATGGGTCTTCTAGATCTCCAGCACCCTACAGGAAAAGAAAAGGAAGAATATTATTATTATTTACCTATACCACTTTCAGATTGGATTGAATTTCAAAAGAAAACAAATCAGATGAACAAATTACCTTCCTTTGTTTGAAAAGATACTTTTAGAGAGATGTGTGTATTGTACATTGTGTGTATACACAAAGATCTATCCAGTATTGATAGGTAACTGGTTGTTTTTTTCTTTCCCTTTTCACCAAATAACTTCCTTTTAAACCACTTAAAAGTATTCCAGCATTGAAAAAATAGATCAAAACATCAGCTACTTCCGATGATTCCAAAGTTTCAACTTCTGATACACCTTACCCAACTTTAGACACATGATAAGTATAAACATGAAGAAAATTAATTATCTACATTCACAAAATAATTGTTTTAAGAAATAGTTTCCCACGTGACTAATAGTTATCTGTACTTAAAAATCAATTTTAACAAAAACAAAACTCATATATTTGCCACTATTTAAAATACCCCATAATTCTTGCAACTAATAATATCTGATGAAGACTTATAGCGAAGTCAACGGACTTGCAATCTTCATCATGGCAATTTTCTGACATGTCTATGTGTGTTCATTCTGCCCAAAGATTAATATTGTGTACCATAAAAAGGGGATAAGATATAGACTAGATTTTCTTTAAGCAAGACTTCTCAAAAATGTTCCCCTTTCAATGAAAAAAGCCAAGCCAATAGTTTTCTAAATTTTATATAAATACAAATGAATTTCTAATGGGTATTTTTCCAATGTACCAAACCTGTTTAAAATAAAATAAAAAAGTACAACATTCAAAAGATTATTCCATATCACATGCTTTATTTGAACTTAAAACACTTATAATTTCATTCTGAACACTTGGTTGACATACATTTTGATGTATGTGTGTAGTTAGGCTATACAGAATATACAAATCAATGCTATACTTAAAATACACAGATTTTTCAAACATTATTTTTCATAAAGAATACAGAGAAAGGAAAAATAACCACATATCCAATAGCTTAGAAATCTAAAAATAAAACTACAGAAATGTAAAATATAAAACAAGTCAAAAAACACACATTATCATCCTTGAAAAAAAATTACAGGCCAGCATCTGCCATTCTTTGAAGAACTAAAATTACTAAAGAAAACACAAATTTATTACAAGTTTATTATTATGAGTATACTAATATGTAAAATTCTGGGAGACAGTAAAATTCTACATTGACAAATTTTTTCACAACATAATATAATCTTGCTAATCAGTAACTTTTAAACCTATCTAGTATGAACTTAATTATTGATTTTAATAACTGATAGCCTCATTTCTGGCATACAATATGAAATAACAATTTTATTAAATTCAAAGTATATAAACAGCCAATTTTAACCTATCTGATAAAGGTGTATGCAAAGGCCTTCTGAAAAAACAAGGCTATATGAATATTAATAAAACTAGTTACCAAGATTCAAATAACAAAATCGTTATATAAATGCACGCATTATACTTCCTAAGTAGAAACCATCAAATCAAAGATCACAAAAATATCCCCACAAATTAAAGTCATACTTTTTCATCACCCATGTTTGTCCCTGCATCTTCATTACAGCTGTCTAAGTCAGCAAGATCACTTTCTGATTCAGTATGGCTTTCCTGCATTGTCACTGGGTTTCCAGCATCAATGTTCGAGGAAGTAGCTGCAGCAGCTGGTTCAGCAGGGCTGTCTTCTCCCTCTACTTTAGCTAGCCTGTAACTAGACAGCATCTCCTCCAGAAGTTGTCGGTAGTTTCCCCTATGATTAATTCTCATTTGCCTGAGAGCTTCCACCAATTTTCCCTGTGATCCACTCTCCTCTGCATCATCGGAGGCCTTTTTTTAAGATTTAAGACCCCAGTGTCAGTAGACAAACTAGGATATCACATGTATTTCATAACACATCACAGCAAAACACTCATTTTTCTGCCATGAGTAATATAGTGTAAGCACGAGAACATTTCATTAAATAAGAATCAAGTCTTACTGTGTCAAATAATAAAAATTTACAATAGAAATATCTCAAGTTATTTTTAGCAAATTACCATTAACTAGTTTAGGTCTCATTTCACATTATAATTTTAAGTTTAACCTGAAGTTTACTTTGCACTATTAGAATTCAACAGCAACACAAGCATTTCCTGAAAGTGACTTACTTAAAAACGTAATTGGCTATAATGACTTAGTGTAAAAGGAAAATTAGTGTGTAAAGCAATAGGAAAGGACAGAAAAGCAGGCATTAGAATATTAGTTTCTCCATGATTTCTGCTAAATGACAGATAGGAAAGGAGATAAAAAATGTTAAACTATATAAAAGGAAATAGAATTTGGGCGAAATATTAAAATTTTCATGGATAAAGATTTTAATTGCATTTTTGTCTTTAAAGGGTTTAATAGACTAAAAATTTTAAACATTAAAATAAGGTATGGATAGCAAATTCCTTATCCTTTTATATTTTGTTAAATTTGGGAAATCTACAACTTTTTATAATAGCAGCTACTTAATCTTATTAGTGAAACAAGCTCTAACATCCAAGCTAATTAAAGTTAACCTGAAATAGTAAATGCCAGACAATCTTACATTATAATATGTTCCCTGATTTGATGAATTAGGGAATACAGGACCATGTCCTGTGTTCTTGCCAAAAATATTTAAAATAAATCTAATAAAACTAATTATTATTTTACAGGAAAAAAGAATAGAGGATCAAGTTAAAGGTCAGCACAAGGAAACCATTATTCTGAATGTAGGACATCCTATAAAAAGCTTGCTTAGATTCTTATTTAGTGTCAAGGGGTGAGGGGGGAGAAAGAGTGTGGTCTTGATTAAAAACTTGCGAAATATGCTTGAATGTTAACTTAATAACCTGATTAGACTATGGTTCAATATAGTAATTATGATAGTCATTCTAGGGACAACTGGGACTTGTTATTAAATGACATTAAGTTTATTACTAATTTTCTTAGGTATAAGATAATGCTTTTGTAGAAAAATATATATATATTTTTAAAGATTTCAAAAATTGATTTTAGAGAAAGAAGAAGAAAGAGGGAGAGAAATGGAAACATCAATGATAAGAATCATTCATCGGCTGCATCCTGCATGCCCCTATTAGTGATCAAGCCCAAAACCCAGGTGTGTGCCCTGTCTGGGAATCGAACCAGCAACCTTTTGAAGCATAGGACAATGCCCAGTAAACTAAACCACAGTGGCCAGGGCAAAATATCCGAATTCTTAAGAGGTACATACCAAAATAGAGGTAACATATTATGATGTCTTCAATTTGCTGTCAAAGAATTAGTAAACACACACACACAACCACAACACTAACACAACAACAAAACAACTAGTAGTAGCCCTGGACAACAACAACAACAACAACAACAACAACACAACTAGTGGCCCTGGCCAGGTGGTCAGTTGGTTGGAGCATTATCTCACACACCAAAAGGTTGTGGGTTCAGTTCCTGGTCAGGACACATACTTAGGTTATAGGTTCAATCCCCGGTTAGGTGTATCCAGGACCCAATGATGTTTTTCTCTCACATCAATGTTTTTCATTGTCTCTCTCTAAAATCAATAATCATATCCCCAGTGAGGATTAAAAAAAACAAGTAGTGTACACACACAGAAAGAAATAAAGCAAATACGGTAAAATGTTAACTATTATTGAATCTAAGTAGAAAGTATTCATCATGCTTATTTCAACTTTTCTATAGGTTTGAAAGTTTTCATCATAAAATTTTTGAAAAAATAAAATACAAAAATGGTTAATATAGATAATCTGGCACAAATTCTTAAACATCTTTGAAGACTAATACTCTAATTCCATGACAAAGATATATTAATATAAGCACACAATAAAAGACAATATTTACAAGAAAAATGAGAGTGCCTGAACACATTTTATAAAAAGTGCCACGTGGCAAAAAGCAAGAGATGATAACTGTGTATAGCTTATGTTTTATGTGTGTGTATATGATTGTGTTTCTGTTATTTTAGGATATCATATACAAACTGCCTAGGTGGAAAAGAAATACAATATACAGGGGTTGGCAAAAATAGGTTTGCAGTTGTTCATTTGGAAAAAGACATGCAGGTTATGAGGTTATGATTATTATAATAGCTTTAACTCAAAAGAATGTCAAAATGGCACAGTGCACTTATCTCGTAAATGCTCAGATTGTTGGCCTTCACTATTTACACATTCTTACAGTCTTTGAAAATCGTCCTGAGCCGAGACCGGTTTGGCTCAATGGATAGAGCGTCGGCCTGCGGACTGAAGGGTCCCGGGTTCGATTCCGGTCAAGGGCATGTACCCTGGTTGCGGGCATATCCCCAGTAGGGGGTGTGCAAGAGGCAGCTGATCGATGACTCTCTCTCATCGATGTTTCTAGCTTTCTATCTCTCTCCCTTCATCTCTGTACAAAATCAATAAAAAATATATTTAAAAAAAAAAAAAAAATCGTCCTGAGGGGTTGCAAACCTACTTTTGCCTACCCCTATATAAATAATGATAATGGGTAATGAAGTTACAGATGCTTGTTTTCTTTGAATTCTCCAATTTTTTATATCAAGCATATTAACTATCAAGATAATTTTATTTGCAAAATTTACTGTGCAGTGAGAACATAAAATGTGCTCTCTGTTAACATTTTTCATATTTACCTTTCCTTCTGTACTAAATAAACATGTTCCCCTAAATAAAGTTTCCCTTTTGAATCTATTCAGGAAAAGTTAAGATGGAGCCATGCATGATAAGTGCTTACTCAAATAAACTATCAATCTTTAGTAAGGTCTGCCAAAAGGCAATTTTCTACTTAGTGGTAAATTACAAAGAACTTCTAATGAAGGGCAATCCCCCACCCCCATCTCCTGAAAACCTCAAATAAAAACTCCCAATTAAAAAAAAAAATCTTCTAGGACATTAAAACAGAATTTTCTTGAATTGGGCAAGTTGACTTTCACATAGCGAAAGTGATTATCAATGCTGGTTTTCACATAAGAATCACCTCTGAAGCTTTTAAAATGGTACAGATACCAAAGTTCTACTCCATTATATTCAGATTCAATGGGTTGGGGTGATATATAATTCTGTTAATTGCTTTAGTAGTATGGGGTGGGGGGGAGAAGGATTTGCTTTTTAAAAACCACACTAAAATCAAACCTATAAATTAAGTAGGGACGGATTTATAATGGTTGGTATCATAGAACCACTGAATTGAAAAGAACTTGAGGAACTGACCACATTTAAAAGTCATTATATCTTATAGCAAATTACATTTCCCTATCATATTAGATGATATATGAGTGAAACCCTTTCCCTAGTTATTTCATTTGAGTCTTCAAAATACTATTACATAACCCTCTCATGGAGTTTCATTAATATCAGAAAAGGAACCTATTATTACTTTTTAAAGTCCTCACTCAAGGATATATTTTTCATTGATTCTAAAGAGAAAGGAAGGAACAGGGACAGGAAAGGAGAGGGAGAGGGAGAGGGAGAGGGAGAGGGAGAGGGAGAGGGAGAGGGAGAGGGAGAGGGAGAGGGAGAGAAGGAGAGAGGGAGAGAAAGGGGGAGCGAGGGAGGGAGGGAGGGAGGGAGAGAGAGAAAGAAGAGAGAGAGAAAGAAACTGATCTGTTGCCACTATACGCACCTTGACTGGGGACAGAATAGACATACAACCTGGGCATGTGCCTGACAGGGAATCGAACCTGTGATCCTGGTGTAGTGGATGACGCTCTAACCAACTGAGCCACTCTGCCAGGGCAGAAACCTATTATTTACCTCCACTTTCTTTACCTGAATTCATATGTCATCATGTATACACATTTATTACAGTAATTAATTCACCTTGCAACTGTTTACAAGTCTATTAGACTATAAACTCATTGAATTAAAGATAATTTCATATTACTTTCTGCATCCTCATTACCACCTACGGAAGGGAACTTTATATGCATAATCTCATTTAATCCTCACAGGTACCCTATGTGACAGGCATTTCAACACTAACTGGAGAAACTAAGGCTCAGACAGATTTAAGCTATTTGGCAGGGTGACAATACTAGTAAGCAACAGAGCTCAGTTTTGTGTTCAGGTGCAAGTAACATCAACAATGTCCCTCTGAATGTTTGTTGAATACATTATGATAAATAATAGGTTTTGCATAGTAAGTGCTCTATAATTAAACACTAAAATAAATATTGGTTAAAATGGCTGTAAAACTAGACCACAAATAATTTCATTTCAAATCTATAATGTATTAAAAAGATTAACAAAATGATAGAACCAAGAAAATCACATTAAATGGAATATTAAAATTATTCTTCAAAATCAATTTAAGGCAATTATGGAGATTGGAATTTAGAACTTTTCTCTCAGTTTTTGTTTGTAAGGCTTTACCTGTTATCTAGACTCACACTGTTTAAAAATAAAATCTCTCATTATGAAAAAACTGTCTTGTGCCAAATAAGATATGGGAATCTACATACCTCATAGAGCAAAAAAGGAAGGGGAATAAAAATCTAAGCATATTTTAAAAATAAAATTTTACTAGCTACTGATTGCAGCATTAAAAAAAATATAGTTACCATAAGCAAAATTCTTCAAATGATTAGCTAAAACAATGGAGAAAATGTAAACAATACTACTATACTTTTTATAGAGTTGTTTTTAAAAAATATATATTTTATTGATTTTTTACAGAGAGAAGGAGAGAGGTATAGAGAGCTAGAAATGGCGACAAGAGAGAAACATCGACCAGCTGCCTCTTGCACACCCCCCACCAGGGACATGCCCGCAACCAAGGTACATGCCCTTGACCGGAATCGA